ATATTACCAATAGCCATCCAACTTTTCCATCCTTATCGGACCTATTAGAGCTACAACCATTCAATTATACTACCAAGTTGGCCATTACCACCATGCACACTGCCTTTTATGCCTTTCTCAGGCCAGAGAATCCACTACCATAACCACCACTCAGACAGATCAATGTCTTCAACGATCCCACATATGTAAACACATATATCATTACCTATTGGCTCTACCACATTCCGAAATGAGTCAATACGCACACACAGTAGAGATAACATACTATCCTACCCACAACAAATGGTGTCCAGTTGCGGTCCTAGATTCCTACCTTCAAAAATCCTTCCAGGAATTAAATACCGTAATGTATTTAAGGAAATGTCTGGTTAATTTGTATATATTGTTGGCTGTATTAAATGTTTGATTATTCTTTTTGCCCTCTTTATTTACAGGCCTACCGTATCGTCGGTCTTGGCACACCACAACCGACTTGCTCCCTTTATACTATCCTACGCTTATGCTGGAACCTTACTCCATATACGGCTATTTGCCCCGAACACAAAAAAAAAATAATATATATATATATATATATTCACAGCATAAAGCCGTAAGACAAACAGGGAATGGAAATGTCAGTTGTGGTGTGTCGGAACTGACAAGGTAGTAGGCCTGAAATAGAAGAGGGCCTACCTTATGAAATGCTTATAAAAAGGAGGTGTGGTGGGTGGGACAACTCACCAGACCTAACAGGTAATGAGGGAAGGGCTGGTGCTCCTTAAGAAGGGGAACCAAGCCCCTCCCACAACTTCAGGCCACACCTTCCATTTGTGGTCACGGCATAAAGCCATAGCATTAGTAACATAAGACAAACAGGGAATGGAAATGTCAGTTGTGGTGTACCGGAACTGACGAGGTAGTAGGCCTGAAATAAAAGAGGACTAAAAAGATATAAACCAGTTTATTCATCCTACAAATACATCATAGCATATCACATATTCATAGTCTTGAATGCTTGGCGCACCTCTTGTATTGGCTGAGGGATGTATCTGGTGTAAGCCTAAAAATTTTAATGATGTGAGCCGGGATATTCTTTTTAGAAGCTGTAGTGGCGGCTCCTATTCTAAATGAGTGACCAGAGTAGTTTGGTGGGTTCAATCCTAAACGGACCAACAACATTCTAACATACACCATGAATTTACTCGTAGTGAGCTTATTACCGTGTAAGGTCAGGAGTGGTTGTGTTGGAGCTATTGTACAGAAGGAAAGATATTTGCTGAAAATTTCCACCGGTCACCATTTATTACTAGTGGGGTAATAGGTGATAGTGACCGTCTGTCCTTTGGTGCTAGTTTTGGTATGGTGTAGGGATAGCAGATAGTGATCTTGTACCTTCACCAGGTTTGACCTTGTGATGAATTTGGGGGAGTTATAGTTAGTAGTGGTGAACTCTTTGGGCCGAAGAAAACCATAAAAGGCCAAATAGATGGCTGTTTTAATTATATGATTAGTATGAGCTTCGAATGGTGAGATGTCTAGCAGATTTGATAGTGACTGAAACAATAGATCGTGGATTGGTAGTCTGGATGGTGAGGGTATAGGGGTGGAGTCTTTAATACCTTTAAGTATGCCTTTAACTTGGTAGGATGACAGAAAGCGTTGTCTGTTGGGCCAAGTGGTGAGGACGTGATGTTGAATACCTGTGATATACAATTTAATGGTGTTGTATGATAATGTTAGATGAAGGTGGCAAAAAGAAATGAATGCGATGATTGTCTCCATGGAAAATTGGTCAGTGATATTAAAGTCCAGCAAGAATGTACTGAAAATTTGAAATGCTCTGCCATACGCCTTCCTGGTGTTATCGGGTTGTTGCCCGAGTTGTTGCCCATGATAGAGCAGTTCTTTTAGTACCAAACCATTTCCTGCCACTGCGGTACTGGAGTTGGTGTCAGGGTAGCTGTTGGTAGTGCTGCCCGGAACTCCTGAAACCGAGACCGTGATAAGTGATCAGCAGCGATATTGATAACCCCAGGCACATGAATGCAAGTTAAAAGAAAACAGTGTTTTGCAGCTAGCCATGTGAGAGTCCTCATAAACCGCATGATGGCCAGGGTAGAGGAATGTCCCTTGTTTACAACATGGCACGCACCGTATTCCCAGACCAGCAAGCTCCCCACTTAACTGCTGCTGCCACAATGGGATAGAGCTCAAATAAGGCTGATGTGTCCTTGAACTTGGGGATCTCAATAATTTCCCCCAGCCATTTACCCAACATCCATTCATTGCCACAAACAGCGGCAAATCCGTCCAGACTGACACCGACTTATCTGACCATACCGGGATAAAAATGCTTTTCCCATTCCAATTTAGCAAAAATTCCCTCCACATATGTACGTCAGCCGTGGCATGTACGTCTAACGTAATGCGGGAGGCATCAGTAACCGATCTAGCCGGTGTGCTGGGGATGGACAAATCTTCCCCGTCTTCGGGTATTTGTGACATGCTACAACATAAAAATAATATGTTACCTGGGGTCCTACCCAACTGGCTGGTGTAATTAATGCCAAGCGGCGAAAGTATTACTTAGTAACGTGACAGGTGAGGCCCTACTAGTTGCCAAGCGGCTTTGAGAGGCACTATCTATGATTTGGCTCGTGTGGGGTATGTGGCCATTGGCATTATGACGGGGTGATGGCCTCTCCGTGATTCGTAAAAGCATAAGACAGAATGGGAGTGACAAGTGAGGTCCTCTCTATGCAACCAAGCGAGGCGGCTAGCTATGAATTGGCCCGAGGGAATGCCATACCTCCGAAATGAGGATGGATGTTGGCATCGCGGGACCACTAACGTAAGGCATAGAAGGCCATAAAAATATACCTAGAGGCTCCTATTGTGTATGCCTATTCTGTAATCATACCTAAATCAAAAATGCAATTTATGCCACATGTCATAACCCTTATGACCACCAGGGGTCGTGGAACTCGAGAGAGAAATCTGTAATGATAACCAGCCACCAGAGGTAGCCCTAGTGCCTATCACAAGTTTTAACATCTAATATTGAAAAGAGTTTCGGCAAACGAACGGTCATCAGATGACCAGAATATGTAACGAATTGCCCCACACGAATAAACCTTTAAACATAGCTATATACCGTATATGAGCCGTAACCGAATGCCGGCATTCGTGTAATTATGTACCGAACTGCTACCGTGCTTGTGATCGTTGTACTAAGATGATGTAAACCGGCCACGCCGAAAATTGCGACAGCCGCGTAACTTACGATTTTGCCGCAACGAAAAAACCCCGCGACCGCCCAGCCTAGAGATGAATCCAGCCAGACGAACCCGGAGGAAACAGGACCCTGGAAGCTGACCACGGAGATACAGGTAAGCAGAATGGCGTGAGGACCGACCGGAAGTGACGATCTCTCTCCACACAACTCGTCAGACCTAACAGGTAATGAGGGAAGGGCTGGTGCTCCTTAAGAAGGGGAACTAAGCCCCTCCCACAACTTCAGGCCATGCCTTCCATATATAAAGTGTGCATCTGTGTGTGTGTGTGTGTGTGTCTGTAAGTTCACATTTTATCTATCTATGGGTATCTTTGTATCTGCATGTATGTCATTGTTTGTATCAGTATGTCTGTATCTGCATGTGTATATGTGCATACATCTCAGCAAATACCAACACTAAATACAAATGCTGTATACTGACATTATGGAGGTACAGGTCAATGTAGCGGAGCTGCAATATTAAATTCCACGATCTCCGCTGGTACAGAAGGTAATCCACAGTCAAGCGCTGAAAAGTAAGGCAATATCCCAAATCCCCCAGTAACCGGACGAAACACAGTTCTGGGAGTCAACTGAGGTTTTTATTCACAGCATCCAGTATTTATGCAAGTCCCCATGCAAAGGGTTTCCATACTGACATAGCAGGGGTAATAAAGTAGGGGACTACATGGGGGACTTAACATACTGGGCATTTCTCCCATCAGGCACTGCTGCACGAGAGGGATACTCCCACTGGAATACACCGTTAAGTGGATTATGCCTCCGTGCAGCAGAACCGGCATTTCACATTAAAATATATAACTTATATTCAGGTTATTTAAATGAATGGACGTTCGGTAGAAAGCTGGGGTCTGAGTGTACCTTTCGTGGGAATACCGCTCAGATCCCAGCTTAAACCACCGAACGCCGCATGAAATACACTTTACTATTGGGTTCACCTGAAAGTACCGAACACCGATGGGGAACCCCATTAGCGAAAGATCGGAGCTCCCGAACGCCCTGGAAGTCCAGCGGTGTTCGCACCGTCAAGTAGCCGATTTCAGTTACACGCACTCGGCGACCAAACACCGCTGGTGAAACAAAGGATCCAAGATGGCCGACCGCCGCATGGTCGGTAGCCGAACGACGGCCACCTAGGAAGGTCATGAACGAGTGCCACACGTCTCTGTATGTGTCGGCTATTGGGGGGTAGCTCATTCGCTTCACGAACAGCTGGTAAAGTCGCTGTTCGTGAAACGAAATACATGAATGCTAGCGGCTTTCGGCTGCTAGCATACGAATTCTATACACATAACAGTACAGATCAATGTTACACATACAATACAGCGGTTATTACAGACAACCTTTTGATACAGACAGTTCAGCATCCCACAAGTGGCTAGGTTTGCCACAGTCAATATACAGGTATTTAGGGCAATACAATGCTGTATAATGACATTATGGAGGTACAGGTCAATATACAGGTATTTAGAGCGATACGATGCTGTATACAGACATTATGGAGGTACAGGTCAATATAAAGGTATTTAGAGCGATACGATGCTGTATACTGACATTATGGAGGTACAGGTCAATATAAAGGTATTTAGAGCGATACGATGCTGTATACTGACATTATGGAGGTACAGGTCAATATAAAAGGTATTTAGGGCAATATGATGCACTATAAAGACATTATGATATATATGAATGTCTAGGAGTACATTGCCATAATTCGAGGGCTTACCTTTCCAAACTTGTTCTGTTTGACATGAAGCGGTCCCTCTTTTATGGGTTTATCTGTCCCTGGCATTATGCCCCCAAGTCGTCCTCAGACGGTCTCTTTTCCGAGAGATTTGATCAGATCCGACTACGATATGTTCCCATCAAAAATGAAATGTCTGTAAGTCTCCCCAGAACCCTCACATACCTCTTCTCTGATCCCGTCTCTGCTGCCTCCTGTCTGTCTCTCTACTCCTAACCTACCTGAGCCTGTCTCCTGTGTCTCTCCTCCTAACTTGTCTGTCCCACCTGAGCCCGTCTATGTCTCTCCTCCTAACTAGTCTGTCCCACCTGAGCCCGTCTCCTGTGTCTCTCCTCCTAACTTGTCTGTCCCACCTGAGCCCGTCTTCTGTGTCTCTCCTCCTAACTTGTCTGTCCCACCTGAGCCTGTCTCCTGTGTCTCTCCTCCTAACTTGTCTGTCCCACCTGAGCCCGTCTCCTGTGTCTCTCCTCCTAATTTGTATGTCCCACCTGAGCCCGTCTCCTGTGTCTCTCCTCCTAATTTGTATGTCCCACCTGAGCCCGTCTCCTGTGTCTCTCCTCCTAATTTGTATGTCCCACCTGAGCCCGTCTCCTGTGTCTCTCCTCCTAACTTGTCTGTCCCACCTGAGCCCGTCTCCTGTGTCTCTCCTCCTAACTTGTCTGTCCCACCTGAGCCCGTCTCCTGTGTCTCTCCTCCTAGCTTGTCTGTCTCACGTGTCTCTCCTGCCCCTTCTGAAGCTGGCTGTTACCTCTATCTCTATTCTCTGAGATTGCCACTTACCTGTCTGTCCTTTTAACCGTCTCTATAACCAGTCTCTCCCATAGGGTGTCTCTCTTACAGTCTCTGGATATCTCTGTGTGTTTCTTCCCTCCCTCTGTCACTGATGTTGCTTTCTATGTATCAGGATGTCTGTATCTCTCGCTCTGTCTCTTTAGCTATCTGCCAGGGTCTCTCTTTTAATGTCTCTCTGTCAAAGGATGTCTCTTTCAATCTCTCTTGATGTCAATTTCTGCTTTTTTTTTTTAAACTTCCTCCTTAGTCTATTTCCTGTAAAACTCACAGCCTCCCCAGCGTGTCCCTCCCACAGCCTGTACCCTGCCCCCGTCACCTTATACAGAGCATACGATACCTAATACAGAGCACACTGCCTCTCTCACCTTGTATAGAGCACACTGCTCCCCTGCACCTTATACAGAGCACAATGCTCCCCCTCACCTTATACAGAGCACACTGCTCCCCCGCACCTTATACAGAGCACAATGCTCCCCCTCACCTTATACAGAGCACACTGCTCCCCCGCACCTTATACAGAGCACACTGCTCCCCCGCACCTTATACAGAGCACAATGCCTCCCTCACCTTATACAGAGCACACTGCTCCCCCGCACCTTATACAGAGCACACTGCTCCCCCGCACCTTATACAGAGCACACTGCTCCC